TATATAATATATATATCAATTTATACAGAGTTAAAAGCAGTTAAAAACTTTCTCCTTTTTCACTCTGAAAAGTAGCAACAAGTGGTGATAATAATGCAAAATAAATTTTAAAAATAATACTTTTAGAAGCCATTCCATATTCAATATTCGGAATAAACCATATGAAAAAGAAAGAAAGAAAGAAAGAAACACAGTGACGAACTGCAGGAAAGGCATAAAAATGCCAAAAGTAAAAAGGAAAAGGGAAATTTACATCTTTCACTGCATCGTCATCAGGGGTTTGGAACAACGAGGTAAAACATCAGCTTGTTTCTAAACCAACAAAGACACGAATGAAAATTTAATGCTTAAAATAATCTCAGAAAATCAGTCAATTTAATCTGCATCTTTATCATTCCAAACTCTATATAAATGTGATAACTTTTAAATGTTTCATTTTTTTCCCTAAATTAAAAAAAAACATGTTATGCGTTTTAAATTTAAACAAAATGTACAATTTTCGATAGTATTTATTTAATTGTGGCCGATAGATGAAAAATTCGGCCGATGAATATTGCGTGATTCAATTCCTACTTAGGACATCACAAAAAATAAAGAAGTAAATTCTAGAAGTATGTATTCAATTATCCGTATCCCTTTGCTGGTGGATTAAGCAACTTCATAATCCGTATCCGTATCGTGTTTTGAGCATGGATCTGGGTAACTGACCAGCTGTGTTTTTGCTTAATTGAATTTGTAATATTTACATTCATAACGCATTAATATATTACATTTTATTGTACCGTAAGTCGTTGAATTTTGGAGACTATAAAAACCTCTTGTGGGCTAAAATAAGAGGGTTTGGTTTATTATTATTAGATTATGGCAAAGTACTCGAGGGCTATCTGCCTTAAGGGAGGGATGCCTTCGTGGAGGACTTTCTAAGGGAAACTGGTTCGTATACACGTTACACATGGAGAAAACCACGAAAACGCCCATGCAGCCAGCCCGTTCGCGGGATTCGAACCTCGGACCGAACTACCAGTGTTCAGCGACGTTACCGCTCGGCCGCTGGTGGGCCTAAAATAAGAGGGAGTGTGTCTTACTCTCTTTCGGCCAGCATCACATTTGACTAAGAGCTTTATAATCATGGATGTAATTTTTCTCACCGTATATGAAATTGTATCCATGTCTTAAAAATCACATCAAGAAAATTTAATTGTACTTACGGAGAATTCGTGTAATTTTCGTGTCTACAATAAACTTTTTAATCCTTTTGATATTTAAATTACATTTAATATATTTTAATTATAGTAACTTATTATTAGAGATTATTGTATTGATACTTTAAAAATTATACTTTAATTCCTTAGCTTTATAAATAAGTAAACGAAAAGCGAAGCATAAAATTTAGAGGTTTATATTATTTAATTGGTTCTTTGTTAAACCTTAATTTTGTTTTTATTTGCCTATAGATGGCAGCATTGCCATTTTCGAGTCTGCTTTATTTCAGATTGTGTGTCTTCAAAGAATTTGGTACATGCATAGCATTTTTTTTCTATATGCAGTAAAATAAAATCCATTTAACACCAGTAAAATAGGCTAAGATCATAAAAGGATGTACTTATTTAGCATATGCTAAGTCTGTTGGAAGAAAAATAAAACTGAATATATAAAACCTGATGCCCATATTCGGGCGGGAACGAACGTTATTCAAAATTAGATGGCACCAGGTACCGCTGTTCTATCAAAATTCGAGAAACATACATACATTTATGCAGATTCTTCATTATTTAATTTCTTTAAATATAATGCAGGGCTCTAATATTTGGTGGCAACAATTTGAAAAAGTGAACCGACATTTATAGTGAACCAACGCAAAATGCCAAAACGAAATTAATAGTTCTTCTGGGAAAATTGACCCTTTGAAAAAAGGAAAAGAGATAATATGGAAAAAATTCTGAAAAGTTTCAGATTTTAACGATCAGCCAAGAGAATGTTTTAAGGTTTTTTACGCTTTCACTGAGCCCTCAGTCTACAAGTCTGATGTTACCCATCGTTCCTCCTAGCTTAAGCATCATTTTCTTCGCACTTACGCCATATACGATTCAACAGCAAAATTACAAAAATTTTAAAAGCAGCATATGTTTAGAATTTCCGACGCAGTGTTAAGTGTTGACATACTTTTTAAATTTTTTTTCAATTTTTTCTGAGTTGATCATATCAGCGTCCAGTTTTCTTAGTGAGATGGCTTACAAAACATTTTTTTCTATCTTTTTATTATTAATCTTTTGTGTATTTACTTTATTTATTAAATATTGTGTTCTTCGCGCTTCCATTCGTCTTTCTCGACCACCAGGACTGGTTTAAGGGATTTCCACTCCTCTTTCTCTACCACCAAATCATTCGAGAAGACTTTCAGCTTGTCGTATATTTTGAGTGGTCCATGCAGCAATGTTCTCAGCTCAGGCTGATCGCTTGTCATGCATATACAGGCACTGTAAGAACATATTTGCACTCGTGCCGCTGTTTTCGCTAGTTTTTATATAAATATTCGGTAGGACAGTGAAGAGATATTTCTCCTCATACAAAACAGACGCTATACATTTACAAATATTCATGGCCTCTTAGGAATTCAAAACCACGCCCATAATCAGTCAGCGCCATTAACCGTCTGGACGGTTAATGACAAATAATGTAATTTATAACTAAAAATAATAAAATCTGTTAGTTATGAAATTCCAGTTCTCTTTTTATTTACAATTTCTTCGCATAAATAGAAAAAAATTCTTGTAACATATGGCAGTACGCGTACATAATATTTAGGCTGTGAATCAGAAGTCTCTGCCTAAAGATATTTGCTATTGCCTTCGGAAATACAATTGTAAGGATTATGTTAATTTTATTAACAGTTAAATTTTAAGTTCCTTTCCTGACAAATTTTTAACTTCAACTTACTACTTCTGGCCAAAACATAGTTTTGGAATCTTTCTGAATATTTAATGAAGAGGAGCGGTATTTAAACCGCAAAGTTTACTTACAGAGTTAGAGAGAATCAGAGTTTCTGATTTACGCGCGTCTGCCTTTTGGGCTACTTTCTCTCTCAAAGCTGTTATTACGCTCGGCCGTACTCAAGCTTTCGTTAAGCTTCGAGTTAAATATATTTAGGGTGCCAACTCGTTTAGAATCTTGATAGCTTCGGCTACATCTCTTTAGTTAATCTTAATTTTAGTTTATTTCTTAATCTCAAGTTCAAGCCCAAGTGTCGGCTTTTATTGTACACTCCAAGACGGAGTTTCGTTAAATCTTATTGGAATAATAAAGGGTTAATTACCCTTCCATCTTGTTGTTTCTTGTCAGACGAACTTAAGCGATTATTCGCTAACTAGTTCTTAAGATACGTCACTTTCTACAGTAACTGAGAATTACAATAGTGAGAATCTTACACAGTGACGTTCCAGATCTATTTGCCTAAGGGGGTAGATGCCTCAGTGGAGGACTGTCTAAGGGAAAAATTTACAAAAGCATTTAGCATCCAGTTTGAAAATTATTTTCTGTTTCAAAGCTGTATTAGAAAAAAAGCAATACATTTGTGATGGTAGGATGTTTATTTACAAATATAGGTTCTACATGGCAAAAAGACTATATGTACAAAAACCAAGTAGGCAGCATTTGTATTTATGGCCTAAGGGAAACTAGCTCTTATGAAAGTTACACAATGGAAAAAACACGAAAACGCCCCTGCAGCCAGCCCGTTCACAGGAATTCGAACTCTGGACAGAACTACCAGCGTCCAGTGATTTTATCCCTCGGCTCCTGGAGGGCTTGACTCGAACCTGAGTCGTATCAGCTTTTACCATTTCTGTGGTTTCACTTTTCAGCTGCTGGTGGACCGAGTCTAACATTTTTAAAGAAAGCAGTTACTTTATTTATATTTAACACATATTTACATAAAACATTTGTGGCAATACATCGCAAATTAACTTTTAATTGTTTTCTTTTGTTTTTCCAATCAGGAGTGAAATTTTTTCAGTACTGGATAAAAATTAAGAACTGGTGCATTCAAAAACTATTGCGAGAAGACAAAAAATAATTCCGATTTTTTAACTTTGAATTGGATTTTCTATTTCTGTTAGTACTGTTAATTCAGAAAATGCTGTTTTACTCTAAATTAATAACACGACAGATACTGAAGTGCTGGTTTTCACATTTTCCCAGAACGTCCCGTTCCAGAACTGCTAAATCTGATTCTGGTTATCTTTTAGTAGTTGGGTCGGACTATTTCTGTTGGTCAGGCTATGATTTAATTTTGTTTGTATCAACGTTTCAAAACTCATATTGCTCAATTGATTAATTATGTGAAACACGGAATTGAAACTTTTTAATATAAAGAAAGTTTGTATAAATGTTATTTGGGCTAAAAATTCAGAACTATATGCTTGATCTATTGTAGTTGTTTAAGCTACATATGCCCCCCAAAAAGAGAGAGAGTATAAATGTCTTAACCCTCCGAGCGGTACGGGTTTAACCCTGAAATTTCAAAGTTCCTCAGAATGTTATGAATAAATTATATTTTCTTAATTATGTTTAAAAAATAATTCTTTCACTTTGTACCTTGATTCCTTTTCTTCCAATAATATACATCCAAACCGAAATCGGACACATTAAAAATCTGGAAGAAATTTTTATGTGTAATGATTAAGAAAGCCCGCTTTCTGTACGAAATTTTCCGTCCATAACGCTGAGAGAGTTATAATATCATTACTTAAACATATTTCGAAGAATTCCTTTCATTTCTCAGTTGTCTGTTGCTAAACTTTGTCACTGTTGTTCTTTTTTTCCCTGAGGGTAACGATGATGTAATTCTGAAGTAGTTCCTGTAACTGTTGTTGCATAAATAAACAATAATTTTTTTAAAATAAAACTCCTTACCGCAGGAAAAAAATTTACAAAAGCACTTAGCATCCAGTTTGAAAATGATGTTCTGTTTCAAAGCTGCATTAGGAAAAAAAAGCAATACATTTGTGATGGTAGGATGTTTATTTACAAATATAGGTTCTACATGGCAAAATGACTATATGTACAAAAACCAAGTAGGCAGCATTTGTATTTATGGCTTATTTTCGACTTTTAGAGGCATTCTTATGCCCATCCATGACCTCCATAGCCTCCGACATGGTAAGGCACATATTGAATTTGGTGCTGGTGGTGTCCACCTCCTCCATGATGAGACAGGAGCTTGGCTAAGATTCCAGCTGCTAATAAAGCTTCAACACCTCCCATACCTCCGCCATGTTTTCCTCCACCTCCAAACATTCCGCCCATCATACCGTGTCCTGCCTCGACAACAATTAGTGAAGAACACAACAGTAAGCAAAGGCAGATAGAGACCAGTTTCTGAGAAGATGCCATGGCCGGAGTAATCTGCAAAAATATAAATTATTAGTACGAATATGGTAAACGTCGAAATTCGGCTCCTCCCATTGCCTTAAAAACTGTAATTGCTTGTAAATGCTCTTTATAATATTCTTAAAGTATATAATATCTTGACTTTTTCACATTGCAAATTTTTAAACTTTACCATTGCTAAGTGTTCTGATGAAGAATGGATTCCTTTAGAAAACTGCATAAATTGACAGACAGTTGAGAAATAAAATACATAGGTACAATGCTTTTTTGCTTTTTTGCTTCCTTCACCCCGGAGGTTTAACACTGAAGCCACTTATTAAAAATTGTATTGAATGTAAGCTAAATGGTTTTCTTGAACAACCATATACAGACCTAGGCAGCATAAAACGCCATATTTTGGCGTGTAGCAGAAATTTCAGAATAAAATGCAAAGTTCCATCGATATCGGTATTTTCTTAGTACGATAAAATTTGTAGAGTACCATAACCTTTTTTTGTGTGCGTATATTTTGTGAAATAAAATTTCAATATCTCTCGTGAAATAGCTGGTAAATTATTTTATTAGTGTTGGGGCTTTGTATATTTTGGCATTCTGTTCACGGGACAGTTACAGATTCGTACATGTTGTTCTGTATGAAGAATGAATGAATCCTTGCAATTGAAAAATTTAGAATTTCTGTAGAGAGAAGATTGATAACACTGGGAAAACTGGACAAATACGGACGAAAAAATGAAGCCATTAACACATGTATCAGAAAATTCAAACGTCTTGTTCCACTAAGATTTTCCAACAAGAAATAATGCATATATCAATATATTTGAAATTTTTACGATGTGGTTTATGAAGCACGAAAGCTGAATCCAATCACACAAAATGGCAACGCTTAGTTTGCAATGCTAAAATCTGCCTGAATGACCAGTAAAACTGTTTTCTATCCTATTATAAAAAACAAACCAAAAAATGCATAGTCCTACTCATATAGTAGTGTAACTTCCATATTTTCTACAATAATTAAAAAAAATCAATAAAAATTTGTTGTTTATATTAATCATTACCAATATGTAAACCATGTGACAGGCGTTTATATTGACACCTCTTTTGGGAGAAGCCAAAGGGTTAACGGTGAATAAACATCTGAGAAGTTTCTAGAATAACAGTTTTATAATTCATAGTAAGTGGCAGTGTGGTTTAGTAATTTCGCCTATAGTGTATATGCAAAGGATCTGAGGTATCTGCATAGAATTAAAACCGTTGAATGGATAGCATTATTCGGTGCAATAAGTTTTGAAAATTTCAGGAAAATATTTGCTTTGTTTTTTTAAAGGATATCCTTACCTCACTTCACGCAATCGTGAATAATAGGCAACTTTACTTTAAAGAAGAAGGCTTGTGTTTATTTTTTTTATGAAACACAGCAGCAGTTTTTGAAACATCAAATATAGCAGAACTAATTTGTCTTGAAAATGTTCCCATTTACAAGCACTTCATTAAAAGTATTTATATAGGCTGTCATTCGCTAATTTTTTAAATTATGTAAAAGAGATTTAAGGCAATTTACATTTCAAAGCGTTCGAAGTATTTAATTTTTCATAATTAAAAGCCACCTTCGTTTTTTATTTTGTGGTTAAGAGAACTAAGTTGAGCTAGCTTCTAATTTCTTATTGAGCTCAAATGTAATTTTTATTAGTTCCATTTAAACAGTAAAACAAAATCATATTACTCAACTCAAAGCTTCTAATCAAAATTGTTAGTGCTGCCATCTTCTGGTAAGATAGAATACTACTTATTATTCCAAAATATAAATTGTGTCATTCATTCTAATTTTAGATTTAGGTATTTCCATTTTATTACGCTACCACATTTTTACGAAAGACTTCATAAGACTTTTTCTTTGTATGAAAAGAAATAAAAAGAGAAATTTTGCTTTTGACGTTAAAAGTGAAATTTTCTTACAGTACTTGATTTAACAAATAATTGCAGAGAAATAAGACTTTAATTAGAAAAGATACGACTTTGGGTATGCATTAGATTTATATATAACACTGTTCCAACGTAGATATTTGAGCCAAAATCGGACTTTTTCTGACATGACATAGCGAGTTTTTTTCATATTTCGATTCTACGACTCAAATTATGACTAGATAATGCTACTGAAAAATCAAACTGCATTGCGAAAATAGGCTACTTTTATTTACGCAGATTTTACATTTATTATGGCTTTCATTTTCGTAAAACAGAAGAAAACTCTGTTTAGAATTTTAATATTTTAAGACGGTAATTATTTTTAAGCTAATTATTTAAAAGATTTTCAATACGTAATTACTCAACAGTTTCCCATATTCTGTCCGGAATTAAAAAAAAAAAAAATTAGAATTTATGTGAAAGTTTTAGAGACGAAAACACTTAAGAAAATTATTATACTTTAAAATTTCATTTAACAATAAAGTGTTTATACTAAATTTCGAATATGTTTGAAGTGTGAAATGAAATTTGATAGAAAAGAAGAGAATGGTATTAAGAATACTCGTTCATTAAAGGTATGCATTTACTTAAGCGGGAAACTTTTAGTAAAACACATATTACTCCAGAGATGAAACAAGGAGTGAAATATTACACTGTAACATAGCAAGTATTTAATAGATAACATATACAGTTATTATTAATTTTTTTTTTGAGTTTTAATGTATGATGTTATTTCATATTTTGATCACAAGATGGCAGCACCACGAGAATTTTTTTCATTTCTGTCTAAAATTGCCCACAGCTCGGGGAAAGGATTACCGTAATAAAATAGCCAAATTTTTTAACATATCTTTTGGAGGCAAAAGAATTAAATCTCAAATAACTCTCACATTCTATATGACAAAATATTATAAATGCTTAGGATCAGATCTATCCGCTGTATCATACAGTATCCAAGTAAGGCAGTTCAACTGTTTCAAGGCCCAGGCGGAAATCTTCCTGTAGCCCCTCTTATTTGGTATGTTCATACAAACTGTCAACACAATTATATAACTTACATGTAGGAGATAAACATTTATGTAAAAAAGTTTATTAATCTGCCATTTCTGATGATTTAAAAAAATTATTTTAACTTTTATGTCAATCGAAAAGCTAAAACTGTTTTCTGCAAGGTTTGACTTCTGTAAATATTTTAAATTCTGTAAATATATTAAAAGCTGCATCAAAATTAATGTTTTTAGCTACTGCATTTTCAACGAAAAGTATTATTTGACTTACTGTTGATCAAATATAGCTTTTAATAAACTTCAACTTTGCAGAGTCTCTCTCCCAAGAAGGAAATGAAATGCGCACTTTACTAGCAAATATACTAAGGTCTGATTCTTGAAGTCCATTTCCACAGTAAAAGTTCACACTAAAAACTTAAGAGGCTCCAGAGCTCTTCCTCATAATCAAAGGCCCGTGGCGGTCTGCCCGGACCCTCTCAGATGCCCCTGCATCCAATTAATGTATTTAAACTATTCAGTTTACATTAGAAATATGCTTTTGTTTTGTATCTAACATGCAATGCTCGCGCAGTTTCAATTTTTACCTTTATAGGATCAACGTTACGTGGTTGAAGTAATATTTTTATATTTATTTGTCATTTTATATCAACATGTTTTTATGAACAAATAAATAATCTTCAAATTAAAAATAAATGTTACTTATAACAAATGACACAAATACGAATTTTTGAAATAGATTCCTCAGCTAAAAATGTATTCTAATATAATACTTTTAAAGTAAAAACGAGCATTTATATCTTCATGTGTGAACTGAACAAAAATAACATTTAATTATTAGCATTATATTGTTAATTAGTGTTAGGCAGTAATTTATTTTTTATGTGAAATTTATATAATAAAATTAATTTTTTTATTAAATTAGCAGTATAAAATTATTTTTTTTATTAATTAATAGAAAATAATACAAATTTTAAAAATTAAAATAACTTTTTATGCTATTAATTTAATGCAAAAAATTCATGTTAAATTAACAATATAAAATTAATTATAAAAAGAATAATTATTTATAATAATTTTTGAGTTTTAAATTAAAAGAATGGTATTTAATGATGATAAAAATAAAAGAAACATTTCAAGACCTAATCTTATGTAAACCATTTGAAGTCAGTGGATTATTTGGATTACAAGAGAGCACACCAGGGCAGTCTGCCTAAGGAAAGAGATGGCTTTATGGAGGACTTGCTCAGGAAGGTTGGCTCCTTGTGGATTAAATTATTTAATCTGCGTGTGTTTTAGTTACAGTTCCCCGAACCCATTGCATTTTTTCGCATAATGGAGCGTCAGTACTAGTAATAATAAAAATCATCATTGTTCAACAATTTTAGAATGAACTATGCAGAAAATAGAGTCCGACTTCATGTAAAGATACTTTGGTTTGTAGAGGCTCACGTGTTTTGGTAAGATGTATTAAGTCATGACGCCTTAAGCGACTTGAGTCATGACTCATTAAGCGACTTCAGTCATGACTCAATAAGTGACTTCAGTCATGACTCATTAAGTGACTTTAGTCGAAATTCATTAAGCGACTTCGGTCATGACTCATTAAGTGACTTCAATATGACTCCTTAAGCGACTTCAGTCATGACCCAATAAGCGACCAGTCATGACTCATTAAGCGACTTCAGTCATGACCCAATAAGCGACCAGTCATGACTCATTAAGCGACTTTAGTCATGATTCATTAAGCGACTTCGGTCATGGCTCATTAAGTGACTTCATTATGACTCATTAAGCGACTTCAGTCATGACTCATTAAGCGACTTCAGTCATGACTCATTAAGCAATTTCAGTCATGACTCATTAAGCGACTTATCGCTGCTTATGTTTAGTGACTTATGTTTAGATAAGCAACAGAAATGCATAAATGGTATAAAAAACCCTTTAATTTAAAACTAAGTAAGTTGAACAGAAGGCACACCCGATGTTTACAAATCAGCCAGGATTTGTGGTTTAAACTCAGTAGAATTTGAAATTAAAACTAAATTT